TTGGCATGCAAAGGGGCGGAGAAGAGGGTTGAAATTCTGCGTGCTTTATGCACGTTTCCGAGCCTGCATAATTCACTTTATATATGGCATGTGAGAGAGAATAAATCTCACTCAACCCCCCGCGTTGGGAAAGGGACTCCCATTCATGTTAAGGATTCACGCTTCCATGGCACTAATTAGTGCAATTTAAATCCAAAGGGCTCCTCGTGCACCTTTTTTTCCCCTGGACTTCCGCTGGCGTATGAGCAGCGCCCGTGGATTAGAGGCATCAATAATGGAATGGAAATATTATCATTAAAACCTCGCCCGGTGAATTAAAGTGGAAGAGTGATCAAGATTTTTAATACATTCTTCAATTACACACCCGTGGCATTTCTATCTGCAGACAGAGGACTCCCGAGAGACTCTTCTGCCCTTTTAATTACTTGCCCCAGCCCCTCGACCCGCCCCTCGGCAATTATATTGATTCAGTGACGGCGGCAATGGGATTTCTACCGTCGCACAGCTTCAGTTCCTCTTAATATTTCAAAATGAACTTAATCCTGATGACCACTTCAATCTAAAAAGAACTTAATGGACTCAGAAGAGACTTCATTTGTGATCCTCTTTGGGGAGATAAGAAATTAAAATGTTTCAAAGTGCCTCAACTCACACCAAACACACCGTTTCGGGGTGATTTCTCTCCGAGGATGAGCCAAGGAAGGGCGCTATTTAATGTACAAAATCTCCTGTAGATTGATTTAAATGGGGAAAAAATAGTCCTCGTCTCCCTTTTGACTCTGGCACCCACATAACCATAAAGTGTGGAAGTTCTGCAGTGACGACAAACCGATCAAAAGACAAACATCGAAGTGCTTGAAAGCTATACGAAATGGAAAAGGGATTACTTCGCCTTCGAGTTTCAATTTCCTCCACAATTCACAATTTGTATTTGATATTGCGAAACCACAAGAGAATGCATGCAAAGAACTATTTTTGTAAAATAAAACTCCCATCAATCTTTTACGTGATTTCTGGCTGTCTTTTAAATTACAAATTGATCTGGGGTGTGAGATGTTCTCAATTTCAAATCATCTAGGCTCTCTCGTGGCCATTCCTTCTCGACGTCTCATCGCGATGGGAATTCTCACAGATCGACAGACGCGCCTCAGCCACTCGATAGACAAATCGTTGAGAGCTGTTTGGGCCATCGAACATGCTTCAAATGGCTTTTTAATGACTCTCCAACCAGACGAAGACGCTCTCGTGCCCGGGGAAGAGTTCTAGCAGAGGCGACAAGACTTCACTTCTCTGACATTGTTTCATCACAATTAGCACATGGAAGATGAGGGAGTGAGTGGAAATCCATTACCGCGTGCGCCCGTGTCAGTCATAATACATCAGAGCAGCGCAGCTCGTCCCGGAGTTTAACCCATTATAAATGGAAAGCAAGAGTTTCCAGACAACTCTTCGTGTGTCTGAATAAATAAATAAGAAGTATTCCTCAAGCAATTCCCATTCGCCTTTGTTCACTTCTCTTCGGCACGATACTTATCGAGCGTGTGTTCTATACTGCCGAATTTCCATTTCTCAAGTGCCATCGCGCTGAGGCTCTTCAGCAAATTATGCAAACCTATTCTCGACTGGCCGTTATTGTGGATTTTAAACATTGCCCGACCTTGACGGCCAAGAGGAGGCTTTAGCGTCACACATGATTTTCGCTACACGAATTGAGCATTGTACGCAAATAGATACATAGACAGTCGGCCAATCAGCTTATTGGAAGCCCTAAATTTCTCTCCTGCAAGCTTACAATTCTTACCCTTCTTACCTTAAGAACTGACGACCAAGGGGCAGATATTATGGTCGGAATTGGTGTACAGCTTTTGCGGAAGTGTTAAGAATTGGAAGTGGCGAAATATTTTGAACATTTTCACTGCAAAAGCTTCTGTTTCAACAAATTGAGGCATTTTCTATATTATAAGGCCTAGAAAAATTAATTTTTATTGCTTTTCTAGGTTATTTGATGAAATTTATGTTTAATCTGAGAAATTTCTTGACAAAATTGAGCATTTGTATTGAGAAAAACTTCAGATCGACTAAACTTCAAAAGAGGGAAAGAGCTGAAAAGTCAATAATAACCTTCAAAAATATCATTTTAGTTTAGAATCATGTTTCATTGCTTAGTTATTTTCGCAGTTTGTACTTCAAAGTGACAAAATCAACCTCATAATCTACTAAAAACTGTGATATTCTCTATAAATTCTCATTTTCCAGGCTTCAAATGAGTAAAATTTGCCAGAGAAGGGTTTTTTAGTCTTATTTTTAACCTCACAATTTGATCAGAATTTTTCAAAGCAATTTTCATACTGAAACTATAAAAATCAGACGATTCTGTCGCTCCTCTTAACTATTATTAATTATTTAAAAAAAAATCTCGCTATTGAAATGATAATGATGAGAAAATAATATAGATTTCCCCCTTTAAATATCAATATTGTCTCTCAACACACGCAAAAATAACTGTGACATCAGCTGGGAAGATAGTTTATCTTGCATTTGGCTGAAAAATCACGAAATTCTTGTTGAAATTCAAAAGAGCCGGGCGAACGGGCAGTGATTCAGCAGAGTTGCGATGAGGGCAGAGAAAAAACTGCCAACAATAATAATATGAGATATTTCTTTTATCTCCGCTGAAGCACATTAGGATGTGACACACAAAGTACACAATGATGCCGTCGACGAATTTAATGACGACAAAGTGCTGTCGCTGATGATGGCGATACAGCCGAGGGTTGAGCCCCGAGAAAAAAGAGCGAATTATATGCCGGATTTAATATTCCATTCATGATTAAATCCCCTCGTGTATGTGCTCGTAAAATTTTCTGGCACCGGAAAAGTGATGCTCTTGGAGGCGCACCAAATGTGGGTTGGAAAGTCCTTTTTTATCACCCCCTCCCCGTCGGCCCCGCCAGGGTGGGATGCAATTTTATGCTCCACTGTGGTGACTAGTGATAACAGACAGTGATGGAGAGCCCGTGCCCAGTTGGGTGGAATTTTTAGAGCAGAAATGTATGATTAAAATAGAGGCGAAGCAATTTCGCTGCACGCAAATTCCACCCGCTGAGACGCTCTCCTCCGAGACACTCTGGGCAGGAGTTTGCCCTGCAATTTTAATTACAAACGGCTACAATTGTTCTTTCGTGCTCGACAGCAAACCGTCTTGCTGCAATTAGTTGCCGGGAAACTTTGGGAAATGCTGAACTTTCTTTCATATCTCACGACTCAATGCTCGACTGGTGGAACGAGCGAGTGTTCCGGGATTTTTCCTGCTGCTTTCCACCCCTTCAGACATTGTCAATGTGAACTTGAAGGTGAGGAGTTACTTTGAGGCGAACATTTCGAGTGATTTAAATTGAAATAACGCAGAAGTTGACGAAGAAACTTTTGATTCTCTGCGGTGTCGTTGAAATCTGCCACAAAATGAGAGTTTTTTTTTATTTTGATGTGACATGACGTCTGAAATTTCCATTTCTTTTCACTTGAGCGGACGGAAATGGAAAATAATTAACGACAGAATTTGAAGAGGACATGAAAAGGAGCTTTCAGTGATGCAGGAAGAGTCGTGCACATTTTCCAGGGACAAACAGGAAAGACATTTCCGCGAGCATTGAATTATCATTCGAGGCTAAATGGGTGAGAAATGGCGAATGCTTCATAATTAAATCGTGACGAAAAAATGCCCCTCAAACCCATGAATGACAATGTTGGCGACTTTTCCACCCTCGCATTTGCTAAAGAGGCAAAAAAACACAGCCTCAAAACTCTTGGTCCCATTTTCCCTGGGATTACGACGGAGATTCCACTGCAGAGTTTTAATGCTCATTCATAAATAATAGACGCCGGGGCGCCCACAATACCTTCAACCCTCGCCCTTCGATGACGCAAATGAAGCGCGTTCCTTGGCAGCCTCTCGGCGTCCCCATTTACATTCTATAATTAAGAAGGGGTTCATTCAATTCTAGTCTCTTTTTCTCGCATTTGGAGACTCTCTGTCGCGTCCCTGCAGAGCAACACAGAGTCCTTCGGGGCATCATGAAGCGCCGTATTTCGCTTATCGCGCACCGACTTTCTAATTACGTGAAATTAGACACGATAATTTAATGATTAAAGTAGAAAATAATTTTAATTTTTCCACCGCATATCAAGCAATTTCATTCGGAAGAGTTGTGGCTCTTCCTTCTGATCTTCGTACAAGGCCAAAAACCGCGGCAGGAAAAGCAAGTTCAGCATCGATTTGTCCATTTCACGGATTACACAACATTTTTCCAAGGGGAAGATAATATGTTTTAAATCTGTACACCATTCGAATCACTTTCAGCACATAAAATTTAAACTAAGAGATCTAAAAGCCTTTATTTGAAAGCATTTCACATCACAAAATCATCTATTATCATTTACCAACGAACTGAAAATTGCTGATTCAGAGTCAAATTGCTTAAAAAGTTTTCTAAATAACAATTTTCCAGGCGTAAATGACTATTTTTGAGGTTATGTTCAACCTTAACACAATTTAAAGGTTTTCTTGGCTTCCAAGGATCAGAATAACAATGATTATTGCTTTCATATGTTTAATTATGCGAATGACTGTCGATCTTTCCGACTTCAGCATAAGAATTGATGTTCTATAATGCGAATTATTCACTAAATTCATCACGTAACATCAAAAAAAAGATTTTATTGATTGTTTCTACGTGAAATGTCAAAAGAAATTCACAGAATTATGGGATAATTTTATCAGTAAAAGAAGCAAACAGGAAATGAATATTATAATTCTTCGGATACTTTCACTTCTTCCGTTGAGCTGTACATCATTTCCTACCATATAATCTCCCCCTTGAATTTTTCTACAATTAACCCTGACATATCTTGAAGCACACTCATGTGCAAAGTTCCCACTGCAACGTTGGAGAAGCTCACCAAAGCTCCTCACTAAAACTTTCACGTTCTCCGCTTTGCAGGACTCAAGCGAGAGTGATTGATGCTGTCGCTCCGGCGGCCAAATATCCAGAATGTTCCGCGTGATTTCCAGGTACAAGATCATCCGTGGCATGACCTCGTACTCCGTGCTCTGGCCCTGCGGCAGCCTCATCCAGCAGACCATCGAGGGCAAGAACTTTAGCACCTACGACTGGGGAAAGTGCTTCCGCATGGGCCTCTTCGGCACCTTCGTCATCGGACCCACGCTGTACGTGTGGATGCGCTTCGCCAACAAGACCTGGCCCAGGCGCAACTTGGGCACCTCGCTGACGAAGGCGCTGGTGGAGCAGGTGACGTACGATCCGCTCATGATAACCACCTTCCTCTTCGTCATGAGCCTGATGGAGGGCAAGACGACGCACGAGGCGCGGCTGGAGGTGAAGGAGAAGTTCTTCGACACCTACAAAGTCGGCGCTGTCTTCTGGCCATGTGTGCAGACCGTCAATTTCACCATTGTGCCGCAGCGCAACCAAGTAGTTTTCGTCAGCTTCTTCAGGTACTCTGCGCCGTCATACTAATTCCTCTCCCTCGCACGCCATCTCTCTATCTCCCTTGCCTCTTTCCAGCATGATCTGGAGCAGCTTTCTGGCCTACATGAAGCACATGGAAATCGAGCAGATACGTCAGAAGAAGGAGGCGAAGAAGCAAAAGAAGCTCGAGCAGAAGATGAAGACTCAATAGTTTCTTTTCTCATATCGAAAAATCACCATCACATAATCTCATTCCGAATTCAATAAAGCGTGAATTTGCTAATAAAAGAATAATTTTCAGTCTCTCACAAATTCTGCCAAATCGAATTTCCCAAACGGCTTCCCGCCCCCAAGTGAGAATTTTCCTTTGATTTTCACCACCCTCTCGTGCTTTCATCTCCACTGAGTGTCTCACGGAAATATTGTCGCCGCCGAGGGGTGCGCAGCAAGTCCTTGGCTGGAAAAAGACGAATTTGAATATTTTCACATGTGAAAAATGTCAATTGTCAGAGAGAGAGAGAGCAAATGCATTTATCCATTTCAAAGTGCACTTTCTACCCAGGAAATATTTTATTTCTATTCTTGCGCATTTCCATTGATTTATAAATAAGAATTCAGTAGAAATAAATCTGGAAATTGCATCAAAATTCATTCATTTTTTATCAGAAGAAATTATTTCAATTCTGCCAAAATTACTGTGCACCGAAATATTACGAAACTAAAACTGCTCAAGGATTCGTTGCAACATTACAGATTTCAATTCGTAAAAACTAGGAAATCGCTATGTAACTCTACGAACTCTAACATCTTAATTGTGTTTCACCCAAGATTTTTAAGGGGTGAATCGGGAAAAGCAATGCAGATTGAATTATTCACCCCTCGGTGAGGGAAAGGAGGCGAAACTTGACTTTGCAGACAATTTTTAAGCGTGGAAAACACACCCAAAGGAGAGAGCATCGGGAGGATGCTTTATGATGGAAATTGAGGGCCCACAGCGTTTATTCATCCGAAGCATTTTCCTATTGCCAGCTCTTGTCGATCACGTCCTATCTTCCCACTTTGCCGAGCACTCTCAGGGCGGTAGTTTGGGTGGGGCGGCGGCGGGCGAGGGTGGAAAATAAATATTCGAGAGCGAGAAGCTCTCGGGACGGCGAAAAAACACACACACACACACACCGAGGAGCTGGAATGGAGGCGAAGAGCAGGGAAATGCTCGAATTCTCAGATGGGAGGAAGTGAATAAGCTCACAGCCACTTCAGCCACCCTTCGGGTTGACAGGCAAGTTGTCTCGCGACGCAACAATTCGCGCCGCAACCCTCTCACACCGCCTCGCGGAGAATTTCAATTATGATTCATGTAATTTAAGTGAATGCCAACAAGGAGAACCCAAAACCCTCGACGCGTCCTCTCGTCAAGCGGCGGAACGTGCAAACGATGCTGACTCCTGAATACATTTCTGCCAATTTTATTTGCCAGCCAAATCGATTTCGCGGTCGTCCTCGCGCTTCCGCCACACGTGGAGGATGCTGAGCTGGGGCTTCCCCACTTTCCCCATCACAGACACGTGTTTCGGGGCCAAAGGGTCGGCAATTGAGGCAACTGGAAGCCCCATAATACGAAAAGTTCCGCTGGTTTCTTCGCTTGTCAGGGAATTTGAAGCCCTACTGTGATTCACGGGGTAAAACCATTAAATTTCCTAGAAAAGCAGCAACGGATTATGCTAAAATTGCCCTATTTAATGGAAAAAGGAGAATTGTTAGAAGTCATAACATGAATTCTGGCGAGAAATTGAATTCATCTGCTTAAAAATTAGTAGTTTTCAGACCCCTGAATAAGCAAAGCCACAAATTCAGTATTATTGAGCGAATATTGCATATTTTTCAGTAAATAATGTCTATTTATACTTTATTTTTAGTGAATAATAATTATCCTTGCCTAAAATAGCTCTCTTTAACAGTTTTCGCATATTTCTTCATACAAACACTCAAACATTTACAGTGTTTCATATAAATAAGCCGTCAATCGAACGACGCTGTATTTTCCAAAAAAATAGAGCAACTTTAAAATAATAACGTTGCAGAATTATGCACGAAAATTTTGTACCCAAAACCTCTCCAGTGTTAAAACTGGCACAGCTCCAATAAATCTCCATACGAGAAGTCTTCAATGAAACTTGCATTTCCGCAAAATGCCGCTCCAACTGAGCCTCCTTGTGAAAATTAGTGCCAAGTCATAATTTGAGGCTCGAGAAAAAATCCTTCACAGCGCGACTCTCGGTCTATTCACACTAATTTGTCTCTGACGATGTGACAGACGAGATCTCTGTGGCCATTCTTGCTGAGGATCTAGAGCACGTAAGATTGTGGAAGGCGAACACTATTCGCCAATACAATGTTGCTGAGCGACTTGGCAAAATTCATGAGTCCGTGAAATTCAAATGCCTCACGATCAAGATCATGAATCATCGTGGATTAATGCTGCTTAATTGCAATTCGCGCCGCATTCACTGCAGGACGTGGCAGGAGAGTGATTTCTGCTGCTATTTGCGCCTCAAATCCACAGGTAGTATTAAAATGTTTCCTGAAATTCTCTGTGAGACTATTTAATGCTCATTCTCCGGCATTTTCCTCGTTAATCGTGAAATTGTGGTCATTGAAAGGTGTTTTATAGAAAAGAAATTGTGGAAAACTCCGCCCATTTCTACGCCCCGCCCAATTATTCCCAATGTTTTACTCATTGAAATGTCATTCAATCAATTGACAAGAACATCTTTATTGGCGAAAAGATAAAAATGATTATTGAAGACATTGAGGACTTGATTTTTATCGCTGCTTTGCCTCTTTTTGAGAAGAAATTGACTTCGTGTCGCCATGATTGCATTCACCCGGAATTATCGTCATTAATCGCATTTCAAAGGCAATTTTTCCTGAGCTCTTTTGAGTGTCTCTGGTAATTTCCACTGGCAATTTTCCCCATCAAAAATTGCATCGTGCCGCAAATTTGCGCCCTCGCGATGCATTTTCGCTATAAAACACCACTCGTCGCTGCACTTCCTGGTATTTTGCATCAGTGACACGATCGAGGCGTTCCAGGAAGATGCAGACGCGCTGCTGGCTCATCACCCTCATCATCAGCGTCGCTCTCGGACAGCCACAAGTTGCCAGTGTAAGAATTTTTCCCGAGAAATCTCCGTCGCATATTTATGCTTTGTGCTTGACAGGACGCTGATTTATCTGTGGCCCGATGGATTCTGGCGCTCGAATCTGCGGCTCCGGACTCTATGCCTGTGTCGGACAGCTCCTCGTCGGAGGAAGAGGAGCCAATTCCCTCCCTGGAGTCCACCGAGGGCGAAAGCCGGACGCTTGGCGCTGACGAAGACAGCCCAACGGCCAAAGTCTTCATTCCGGACATCGGCAAGATCAAGACCATCGTGGAGATTCTCAAGACGGTTGGAGATGTTGTCGTCCCTGTCATTCTGGAGGAGGTCGAGAGCGTGGCCGGAAACGTGGCTGGAACGATTTCTGGATCAGGAGCCGCTGGAGAAGTCCAAGGACAGCTCCAGGCCGTCAACGTTCCGGAAGACCTCGTGGCATTCAAGACACGCGGAGTCATGTTGCTGCAGGGTGCGAAGAAGGATTTTGGCAACTTTCGTCCGAGAGTTATTTCATAAGAGGGATAATAAAAGGGTTGCGAGTGAAAACTGAAATAGAAATGGATGAGTTTGAATTTAAAACATCATCTCTTGATTTTAAGAGAGGAGCGGAGATGGGATTTTCCAGTTTCTACACATGGACACTTTGTGTCTTTGCTATTCTCTTCCACGCGCAGTGATTCTGGTCACGGATAGAATGTGTGGAACTCGGTTTGACAGCTGAGACTGGAAATAATAACAAACAAATCGCACGTGAGTTTATTTTGCTCCTTGAAATCACTCAAATCCTCGTGATTTTCCTCACTTTTCCAGCATGGCTCTCACACTGGCGAAACTGGAGGAGCTGCACTCGCAGCTGATGCAGGATTTGGAGACGTACGAGCGGCAATTGCAGAGAATCAACGCGGAAATCTCGGAGTATCAGCAGCTGAAGGCGACTGTTGTGGTCATCGAGAGTGATCTCAGGACGGGCTTCAAGACGCAGGTCAACATCGGCGCCAACGTGTTCGTGCAGGCCAGAGTGCAGGACACCGAGAAGATCCTCGTGAACGTGGGCATGAATCACTACGTGGAGTTCTCTCTCGAGGAGGCGCTGAAGTTCGTGGACTTCCGCATCCGCGTCCTCACGAAGCACAGTGATGTGATCCGGGATGAAGTGATCAAGACGAAGGCGAAGATTAAACTCGGTCTTCTCTGTGTGCAACAGTGATTCAGAGCCTTCCGGAAGATTTTGTATAATATCAACAGTGTATCTTAAATTAAGAGACGTTACAGAACGAAATTCACACAAGTTTTATTGTAGAAATAAGAGATAAATAAGCCACTTAAGAGCCATAAGCTGTGAATTTCGTGCGAAAATCTTACCTTGTTCGGAATAAATATGAAAAATTATTCATAATATATTTATGTTTCGCATAAAATGAAGTATTCAAGTTGATTCTGGAGATATTTTATTCCTCTGTGTACATATTACATACAGTTTTTACTTCTGCAAACACTTAAGAGATTAGAAATTTCTACAGATTTATCAACCCTTCGGCGACTGCATCGAAGGGCGCGCGCGCGCTTGCGGTCAAGAAAACACCCTCAAGAAATACTGGACAAAGATTTTCGAAGCTCTTCTCTGGTATTCTTGCCGTGTTTCATTCACACTTTGCCATTCTTTGAAACCATGTCTGAGTTCAACAGCTATATTTGACTGGCGTCGTTCGCCTTACAAGATTACAATTCCTTCCCCTTTTTTTTATCACTTTCTCAGTGGCTTTCTTGCTTCTCGCGGTTTTTATAAACATTTAGACTGCGGTGGAGATCAAGAAAATGGGATTTTCCAATTGCACAAATTGGAGTTTTTCGCAATTGAAAGAATGACTAAACTTACATTTTTGCCTAAAATCTATATTTAGACTTCCTTCACAAATTCCTACTGAATTCAGAAATGTCTCTATTTGAATATTTTTTTTCATGTTCTGCAGACAATGTTTTCCTACAAGCTCACTCTCATCTAAAAACTAATGAGACAGGAACGAAGGGAAGATGGTGAAAATATTGCAGAATTTTTCATTCTTCCATTTATGCTCTGGACTTGTTTTTTAAATTGTTAATGTATTATATTTGTGTAATAGCATGTAATTATTTTTGTAACGGCCATCATCATAGTTAATTACACCTACAAGTATATTATTTAATTTGTAGAACATACATTTAATATTTTTTTTAAATACATTATGCAGTAAGTGTGTTTTATCATTATGCATATTGGGTTTACTCTTTGAATTTTTCCACAGATAAAAAAAAAATCAATTTTATACAGCGACAACTCGAAAAATATCATGTAAAAAAGATTGTGTGACATTAAATTAGGTACGCAATTGCATTACGCATTTTCCATGTGTGCAATTTTGCTCAATATCTCCTCTTTAAATTTTTAATTCAACAATTTCAATTATCATATAATTTTATCCACTCTCGCTGTGCCTACAAAAAAGGACTGTTTTTTCAGCATAATATAGTAAAATTTGTTGCTTCAGTAGCTTCATCACACAACACTATTAATATTTATTACAAACATACAGTAGAAATATCATTAATAAATTCGTTGGCGTTTTTTGGTAATTAAATATAATCCTTCTCTCATTTATTAAATATTTTGACTCTGTTCTCAATTTCCATCTCACGCAAGTGGCTTTAAATCCTCATTTGCTCTCCCTTAAAAACCTTTAGAGATTAGTTTTGTCTTTAAAAGTAAATTTTGGATGGCATTCATTTTGGAAACAATTTGTAGAATTTACAAAAAAAAAGTCGATTGTATCAAAAAATAGATGAAAACTTCTCATGTTCACAATTTCTTATACATTTTCCAACATACATTTAAATAAAGTTCAATTAAAGCTCTCGTATGAATTTCTCTTCGCTCTCATTCCCGGTTCAAATCTCTCTCTGTCTTCCCCCAAAATAGACTTAAACTTCAAAGACTCCCAATAAGATTAAATCACAATAAAACTTCCCTCGATTCGACATCACAAAAAGACGAAATTTTACATTGAATACAATAAGAGCTTGATGACTTGCGACGGATTCTGGACGAATATTTCTCTCTGACATCAATAAAAGTTTCTCAATATATTGATATTTTTTTCTCTCACTGTTTTTGGCCAACTTTTTGGTTCTTCATTAGAATTTTTTTCCACCCCCACAATTCAACTTCTCCTCGCGCTAATGAAGACCAACTGCATTTGTGGCGCTGTCCGTGGAAGGATTCTGAGATTTACTCCTCTGCTGCATTTTCATGGCTTAATTGTCTTCCTTGTGCTGATTTGGATTCCAATCAGAAGTCCGTCGTTCGGTTCGTAAATAAATTTGTCACGATGTCCTGCAGTCCTAATCGACAATGGAAATTGGAGCATCTGCAAAGAAATGGACGACAAAATCACTTAATTGTCCAGCTGAATATTTTTCTAGACTCTTTAGCAGATAGTTTTAGAGTTTCTAATAGAGATTTTTCAATTTTCTTATGAGTTTTGTCCTCTTCTGGTCAATTAATTATTGGCAAGATTTCTTACAAAAAAAACATACAAAAATTCATATCATGACAGTCGATAAAGGGTTAAATTGATAAAGTGTTACTTGAAATGCCATAAAAGTCAATCCTGTGAACGACTAATTGCTCCTAAGCATGTTATTAGTGTTGAATTTGAAATAGCATCTCAATATTGCAATCTTGTAGAACTTTTATTGCCTGTGACCAGTAATAACTGATTAATAAACAATCTTCATTCACAATTTTTATCGTCTTCTCTAGGCAATTATTGCCAATACAGAGATTCTGTGATAAAGTCCATGACAGACAATTGCATAACGTGCAATTCTACGCCTGGGAGAACAATAAAAACGTTGAGTAGAATTGTCTTAAACACTCTCGTGCGATAGGCGAACCCAATATTTGCTGTGTAAGTCCACCACCAGGAAGTGGATTCAGCAAATTAATTTAATATAGTGTGACAATCCAGTGAGTGTTTGACATGGACTGAAAAAAAGCCTCCTCTCTCGGTGATAATCTCTTGGCACAGGCGATAAGTCTGGCCACTATCAGTGAGGCGAAGTCGCGATAATTTCAATTGCACTGCACTTGAGGGGGAAAAAAAACGCAGCAGTGGAAAATGGGAGTCAATAGATGTGTTGGTTGTGGAGCGATTTTCACATGTGGAAGCTTTTTCTGGGATGTTTGCAGAGAGAACGCTAAAACCACATGACTGACTTCTCACAGCACACAAACACGATTGAGTCCACACAGAATTATACACTCGACATCTGAATGCGTGTAATTAATTTTCCTCCTGTATACATTTTGTGTATTTTAATATTTCAAATTCATTCTCAACTTTATTGCTCTTTATTTCGCGCTCACACGTTGCCTTCCCCTTCAATGTGCAATTAGCATTTTTGTACCTTTTGCATCTTGACTTTTTATGCCATTTTCTTTGGCGCATTTGATTGATAGCCGTTCAGTGGGCAGAAAAAAATGATGAGCAGCAAAATCGCCCAAAATGCGAACGTTTCGTGCTTAACAATCTCGACTTCATTCTCGCAAGACATTAATCTTTTTTATTTAATTCCCGAATTTGTGCTTCATCATAATCCCAAGCTTCATTTAGCGATCGCCAAATTTCATTGATTCTCGCGGGTATTTTAAGTGTTTTCCACCAGAGATGAAAAACTTCTGTTTAGCATTCTCAGCGTATTAATCCGCGTAATAATAAAAGCACTACGAAATTTGCGTCGCAAAAGCTATTGATAACTAATGATTGGTCAGATAGTTGTAGTGACGAAGGCAAATAAATATACAAATTCATCTTAATTAGCTACAATGCAGTGACATTTAAACCTCTCTGAGAGTTTTTCCACTCAGAAAATGCTTATTTTGCCTTTGAACGCGACGAGAAAAAAACCTCTCCAACAGCTTTGCCATTAGAATGAGAGACTGTATAAATATCTTTGGATGAAGGGCGATATTTCATCTCCGGCAAATAAAGTTGAGTGGCATTTGCTGAATATTATTGCAAAAGTCTCTTGGCAAATAAGAGTGTTGGCGCTGAGCGTGAATATGGGGAAAACAGGGAGGAATCTTGGAGGAATCTCGATGGATCATCGTAAATCACAGTCCATTGAGATGAATTGTCATTCGCAGATAGAAATTAGAGACATTAACTTTGTCAAAAGTTTTAACATCAAAGAATTACCGAAATTGAATTAACAATCCTCGAAAGCCATGGCGAAAAGCTACGAAATTGTATGTCCAAAGCTCCCAGTGAGCTTCTTAGGCAGCTTACTTGGCTGGCAAATGTAGATTTGGAAGCTTTGCCTTCTGTAATTTAAAGTAAGGGGGAGATATTATGGCGACGTCTGTACATCACTTCCTGAGACTTCTCAGGAGTTTCTCTTTGATTACTTAACTATAAACTTTGAATAACTTAACAAGAATCTTTCTAGCTCAAAATTGCACTTGTTAAGTCAACAAAATTGAGGTTATGTTTGAGTTGAACCCGTTTTCTATCACTCAATTTGCAGAATCTTGATTTACGTTGAATACAAATGTGCAATTCTATCAAGAAGTGAAAATAAATTCATTTACAGCAGAATAATTTCTATTTTGAGCTTTTGATTAATCCTAAAAACCTCACATAACCTAGAAAATAAATGTCAAAGATCAATTCTGAATAAGAATTGATTCCTAAAAGAATAGTAATCAATGGAAATTCTAAGAAATGAGCTGAATATTGCAATTTCTTGAACACATTCACTTCGTAATACTTCGTCGAGCTTGTACACATTTTCTGACCACACTATCTCCCCCTTGATTTAGAGCATGATGCCTTGAATGATCTCAGCCCAATATATAGTTTACATGAATGAATCTCTCAATGAATCATTTCCTTGGTGGATTTTTATCATTCAGTTCTTATGTTTATTAGTTTTATATCAAGTTTCTTGAGATCCTTATCAACACTCTATGTTTTCTCTTCTATTTTGAATACATATTTCATCTCTGTAGTATGTTTTACTTTTAGGTAAATCATAAACAAGTGAAGCAGATCATATTTTGCTGCAAATCTCTAATCGTGACTCCCACTTTTGCCATTCCAGCAGAATTTGCTCGCATCGATTTGCCTTTCGGTTGTTTAGACTCGGTCAGAGTGCAGAAATCCGATCTATGGCCGGATTTGTGGGCAATAGCGAATAGTTGTGAATTTTATAGCATTTTTGACGATCACCGATCCTTTCTGCCGACACCGCAGAAATCGTCTCGCTCGTGGGCCATATTTATGGCCACTGATGCTGAAGAGCGTCTGGACAAATTGTTGACTCGCCAGATGATTTGTGTCCCCTTAATCTCCGCCGCCCCGCGGCCCACTCTTGAGGTAACGAGCCGGTCAAGGCGAAGGTATATTTTGAGATGCGGTGGCACATAAAATGATCGGCGGGGCGCGGGGAGGAAAATTCCTAACAAGTCCAAATGCATCATGAATCAAGGAGACTTAAATTTAACGATCGCGCGCTCAGCGATGCTCCGGAGACGCCAAAGTGCGCCTCGCCCGCCACCCCAAAATGCCTGGGTGAGAGTGATTGTGCCTCGGGGGCTTGTCGTAAAAGTGAGCAGATTAGCAATCGAGAGACATTCAAAATAAGAGATTTTTAATGTCGTAAAAATTTATTATGTGTGCGCTGGAAGATCCCTGCACATTTTCTTGCAATGCGGAGCATTTTTCAATTTATTGCATATTTTTGCAAAACAAGTCTCAGCCGCGGCCGAGGGACGAAGTGCGGCGCATCCCAGAGCCGCCTGGGAATTTAAATTTATATTTAACGATGATGCAGATTCGCCAGTTAATGTTCCAAAGTAGAGATTGACGATGATATTGTGTCGGACATTTGTATTAAAGCCGATTTAATTGTGCGTACGGGGCGGAGTTGAGAGATGCAGAAAAGCACAAGGTGGTCCGAGTCAGGTGGCTGGACGCAGACATGTTTTAATTTGAAGCCATAAAAGTTATTTAAAAGCTCAATTCGATGGTAAAACGAATGACTTTGGCAATGTCATAAATTTAACATTGACAATCACGAGATCAGAAATTCAGGAGATTCATTAATATGACAAAATTTTAGTTTATGACGTAAGTTTTTGCTTCTTCTGCATCCGACTGAGTCGCAAGATTTAACGACGAATATTACAAGATTTGGGTAGAAATGATCTTGACATTCCTATGAGCAATTGCCTTGGCAAAATCCAGAAAACCGCAGAGAAGTTTAACAGAACCACAAGAGATAAGCACAACTACTGATATCTATCAATGGGCAATGCCAATAAGGATCTCCTTATTGGTAAATATTCTTCAAATGGTATTGATTTCAATGAGTTCGGCACTCGCAATCGCAATCAAGCATCTCGACGGGGCCTTTCTGTCCCCCCAGAAATGGAAACAGGTCGACGAAAGGGTGTACACCGCCGCAGTCTCTGCTAAATTGTTCAATTTTTGGTTAACAAGAAGTCCCTCGAACACGCTGATTGTTGGTGTGGCGTAGCTTGAGGTTGTAATTGATTTACAATGCTCACCTTCCATTAACATATTACATGTTATCGCGGCGAATTGACTCTGAGAGTCCCGAGCATGGCCACAATAAATTTTATTAAATTCTCCACCTCATTGTGCGAAGGGCCCTCGCGCGCCCCCCTTTTGAGCCATCGCAGAGCCCGAGCAAAAAAAGCTGATCTACTAAAGTTGCAATCAAACTTAAATCGCATGCAACCCATAAAGGTAAAATATTTTATGGGCAGTCGTAAAATTGTAGGATCTCTTGTGCCAAGTCCTCCGCCGTCTATCGCCCGTAAAAGAGCTTATTGGAGGATTATGTGCTGCAATGTGGAAGTGCATTTCGACCGCACAACAATTGCAGCGGCAATTCACGGGCGTCGCGCTAAGATGATTGAAATTTCAATTGAATTTTAAGCACTAAATGCCGCGCGGCCAACATCTGGAGCCCACCTCGCTCTCTCTCTCTCTCTCTCGCTCTCTCCCTCGTCGATATCCCCAATGGGCAGCGCTGCCTGATCCATGCAAGTGGATTGTCTTCTCATGACAATGCCATTTGTGATACATATTCAAAAGTTTTTACTATCCGCCAACATCTGCCCTGCAATTTTCCCATTTTATGGAATTCCCACTCGAGCACATTTTACGTCCACTTCAAATATGCATTAACGTAGTTGTTAATTAAATTAACTTAATTAATAATAAGTGCATAAAGTTCAAGGCAGGAGCGCCTCTGAAATTTCTAATGCACCACCAGAGAATTGCATTATGCATTTTGTAGCATGTGAACAGCTCACAATCTTTTATTGCTCCGGCAC